GGGGCACCGCGGCGGCGGCGGGCGGGGAGGCGGCGGGAGGAGCCCGGCTGCGTCCGGGCCCCCGGCTCTCGGCGCCCTCGCGGCTCAGATCATCCGGGCGCCGGGGCGGGCGGCAGAGACCGGGACCCGGAGGAGGAGGAGGAAGAGCCGAGGACGCATCGCTTTCGCGCCCCACCTGCCTGGCGTCCCCCCACCCCCCTCCCCAGCAGCCCGTTCCCGAGCCGCAACCGCCGGGCACCCGAAGCCTCCTAGCCGGCCGGCGCGGACACCACTGCGCTCCAGCTCCTGCGCGCGCCCGTCTCCAGCGCCGCCGCCGCCGCCTCTAGCGCGGCCCCGCGCAGGCGCGCTCACGACGGCCCCGCCCCGCCGCCGCTACAGCTGCGGTGCGGCGCAGCAGCTGGAGAGACCCGGATGTCGCGGGGCCGAAACTGCGGCGGGGGAGGGGTGGCCACTGATGACGTCACCGCCCAGCCCAGCCTCTCCGGCTGCTGTCCTTTGGTGGCGGGCGCCCTGGCCGAGACCGAAGGGAGCGTCGGGATCCCGGGTCGGAGCCAGAATCAGGGCCTCCACGGTCCGACGCCGGGGCCTGGGCGGTGTCTGCCGCTGTTTGGAGCTCCGCGGGTGGACGGCGCTCGGAACCCGTGGCGGGGAGAGTTGGACTTGGGCTCCGCGCCTGCTGGGGTCCCCTGCTCGCACACACCCGCTCCCAGGTCTGCGGATCGGTGCCCAGGACGCCGCCACACCTCTCCAGGTGGCACCCACGGGCCCCACGCGGGTGCGGCCCCACACCTCGGCCGCGCGCCCTTCCACCCCGCCAGTGGGAGGGCACGGGCCGCACGCCAGGGCACATACTCCGAGCTTCCGGCAGGTTTTCCTCGGGTGGCTCGTGGGCTCCCGCATTGTGTTTATTTGCAAGTTAGACAGTCACGTGATTCTGTCACGGACCCTCCAGCGACCTCCAAAGAGGTTAATGGAACTGAGGATGTTTTCAGCATCTGGAGGATGATCAGAAAACGTAACAACCTTTTCTACTAAGAGCTGGGGATGCGCTAAAGTTAACGCAGCTGCACGTGCAGCCGCCAGAACCCACCCCAGCTTGCGGGACAGCAGCACAGCTGACCCACGCCGCGTGTGGGCGTCGGGGTGGGGCGGGGCCTGCGCAGCCAATGAAAGGGGGCCGGGAAGCAGTGCGTCACTAGCTCGGCTTCCCATTGGTCGCGGCGCGCTTCCCTCTCGGCTGGTTTAGCCCTGCTTTTACTGCATTTGCGGGGACACGAGTTTAGAGAAGAAAAATCTTCATGTTTAAAAGATGTTCCGGTTTATACAAAGAAAAAAACAAACACGATACTTCGTTGTAGGGGGCAAGAGCGCCAAAAAGAACACCTAAACATGCTAGCCAAATTGAGTTCTGGCGGGGAAATAGATAAATCTATGAGGAGGCCTCCCCAGTTTATCGCGGGAGTTTAACTGGGAATTTGTACCCTGTTACTTTGTATCTCTTGAGGACCACGTTGTCGCTCTCTTAGATTAAAAAAAGACAGTTTTTTCTTTTTGTCATTCACCAAGCATTATTTAACTGCTTTTTAAAATCTAAAAGCTACCTCCAATTTTTTTTTTTTCTTTTTTAACTTGACTTTTCAGGGAAAGTTCTGTACCTTTCAGAGAGAACCTAACAACAGGATCACATGGTCACTGGCAGACCAAATCTTCAAGGAAGCCCCAAACCCCCTACCTAATATTTTGGAGATTAGAATGTTTTAGGGAAAGATGAACATGGATCATTTCCAGGTATACAAAATACAAATAATACTCTGCATTTTGGTGCCAATATCATTGGAGGATATATTTCCTAATTTTCTATCCACGCCTGCCCCCCTCCAAAGAAAATTAGATCAAAGGTCTTTGAAGCTCTACCTTACTGGAGTCCTTAATACTTCAGACAAGTAGCAGCATGATTAGCATGCTAGTGGACTCATTAACATTCTGAAATGGAAAACCCCCTGTGGCGACACCACTTGGAGTGCTCTTAAAAAGCACGTTGTTGCCTTATTCAGTAAGCACCAGGGTCAGTCGTGGACTCCAAAGAACGGAAAGCTTTTGCCTCAGTTTCCTTCCTTTAGGCGTTCGTTCCCGGTTTCTCTGTTCTACCCTTGTAGGAGAATCTGGGTCAATTGTACCAGAAGACAAATAGAAAATGTGAACTAAAAGATTTTTGCCCATCAAGCTGCACCTTCGTATTATTTCTTATTTCTGGAGACAGCTTTCAGGGACATTTTGATACGAACTAGGAAGCTCGTGGGTTAGGATTAACATTTTAAAATTTGGAACAAATTTTAGTCTACTTGCGACTCCCTCTACCTTCCTCCATAATTCTGATTTAAAGAAAAGATTTACATTCCTTGTTCCCAAATTACTATTGTGAATATATTCAGGACAGTCACCCTTGAGATGACTTTATTCGAGCTCTTAATATACATCTCAGGAATTTAAGTGACATCTGAGGAATTTAAGTGACCCCTCAACAAGATACCTGGGAATCTACCGCCCAGAGCCACCCATCCTTCCACACCAAAGCTGGTCATTACCCAAGAGTTACAAAGCCAAGTAGGGCCTAAGTCCCTCTCTTCCTCTCCTCCTCCTCCTTTTCATCTTCCTCTACCTGGTTTTTTTCCTCACCCACAGCCACTTTGTGTGTTCTCCTCTTCTCTTTCCTTTTCTTTCTTCGTTTCTTCAGTTCTCTTTTTATCTCCTTTGCCTTTATTTTCCTCATTCCTCTCTTCCTTCTTTTCATTAGCTTATTCCAAAATGCAGCTTTTCTACCCATTGGCTTCTGAAGTTGAACATGTGAGCAGATAGTATCCCTGAATTTATTTCATCCGGGGGCTGGGGATACCCCCACCCCCTTCCTCCTCCCTCCCCTCCATAGTGTATTATGAAAAACGTAGCTGTAACAAGGACAAAGGGTAGAGAACCCTGCCCTGTGTGACGTCACAGGGCACACCGCTGGAAGCATGCAGAATGTTTTCACTTGGTCCCTTGGGGGACGGCGGGCAGCCAGGAGCGTGACAGGCCAGGTCATAGGTGGTCTCTGGGTAGGCTTTTGCCTCACAGCACTGGACCTTGTCAGATTAGTTTTTGTGTCCAACAAGCGGTCACCCCTCTGCCAGGCCCTGAGCTTGATGCTGAGTCAATAATGACATCAAAAGACAAGGTTCCCTCCCTCTAAGGAACTGACCTATAATGAGAGACATGGTCAAAGAAGCAAACAAATAGGAAATTGTACATTGCGATCAGTGAAGTAAATGAAAAAAAGAGTGGGAAATAGGGGGAAAGACTTGGAACAGGTTTGGGATAAACTTTTCTAAAAAGGCAACCTTTGAGATTTGAGGTAAAGGAAAAAACAAGTCAGGTGCTTTTTTTTTTTCTTTCTTTTCTATTATTATTATTATTATTATTATTTTCATTTTTCTTTCTTTTTGAACTCAAGGTAATCATCCTGACTCAGCCTTCTGAGTGCTGGATTACAGGCATGTGCCCCCACCACCCAGTTTACATTTTACTACTATCTGTCCTCTTGAAGTAATTGACACATATTGTGTCTGCAGGGTGGAAATTCTCTGTATTGTGTTATTGCACTTCTCCTCCCAATGCCACATTCAGTGATTTCACTTTGATAGCTTGAAGTTAAGCACTGAGGGAGATTTTACACCATGGAAATTAGCAAATGCCATGGCTCAGGGCCTGACTTACTGCTCATTGGTTTGTTGATTTTCTAAATTTAAGAAAGTAATGGAAAAAAATCTTTTTATGAAGATTAAATTTAAAAAGCATGCTGTGGGGCCTGGGGACTCACCTCAGTGGTTCCACTGCCTGCCTCGCAAGCGGAAGATTCCGAGTTTGATCCCCAGTACCACAATACCAAAAAAAAAAAAAAGCATGCTGTGTCTGTAACTGTTACATGCTAAACAGCACAAAAACATCCAGTTCATCAGTGGTCATGAACACAGTTGACAGTAGGTTCTGACATACATCTTTGTTATTTTACTTTTGTGTTCAATAAATTAACCGAAAAGCATGTCAGCACTGCATTTGGAGAGCAGCTTGATAAACACATGCCGGCACTCCACCACTCTGCATCTGCTGTGGCAGATGAGCCCCTTACTGGTTATGTGACCTTAAGCAAGTCACTTATACTGGTTGTATGAACTCAAGTCACTTAAATTATTAGCCTCCGTTTTATCCCCCAAAAATACTTCCTCCCACAATTTACTGTGTGTATTGGAATAGATCAGGAAGCCTGGAAAACATGACTGATACCATTGGGTGCCCCTGGCACTACCTACTCTTTCTTCCTCACTGGCAGATCTTACTGTCACTAGACTTTCACTAGGGACTTGTGCTGGCTGAGGCTCCCTTGTAGCTTAGAGAAGAGTACAGTCATGCGTTGCTTAGTGATGGAAAATGTTCTCAGAACTGTGTTGTTAGGCAGTTTGTCATTATGCAAACATCATGTAGTGTACTGACACAAATCTAGAAGCTATAGGTCCATCACTCCACATGGCCTCTCAGTGCCATCAAGAGATGTGGTAAACATAAGACATACGAGGTCATTGGCAGGGTAACATGAAGTGCTGCTTTGTAGTATTATATTCTAAAACGTGATAAAAGTACATAAACTGGAAAGATAGTTGTTTATTGTCATTATCAAACATTATGCACTGTACATTATTGTATGTGTTATTTTATGTAGCTGCCAGAGTGGTAGGTTTGTGTATACCAGGCATCGCCACAAGGAGTAATGTGTGGCACTAGGATGTTATCATAGCTATGATGTCACTAGGTGATAGGAGTTTTCAGCTCCATTATAATCTTAGGGGATTACCATCAGATATACAGTCCTTCATTGGTTGAAATGTCATGTGGAGCATGACTATATATAACTCTAGGCACCGGCATACACTGGTGTATCTCAAATAGGCTAGATGTGACAGGTTTTGATCCTTGGGACGTTCGAGTGAGGCTTAACTGCTGATGTCCTGGATGGTCCCATCTGGCCACCCACAACCTCATCCAGGTACCTGTGTCATAAAAACATGATCTTTCTATTTGTGTCATGATGTGAAAAAGGTAGGAAAAGATCTGGGAAAAAACTTTCCCCCTAATGGAAAGAGTTGCATGAGAAAAAATGTCTTCTTCAGCCACATGTTGTCATGTCCATAAGTGAGCCTGGAATTTCCAGGCCATCTTGCAAAGAACCGAAGTGTTGGAGAGAGGAGGAGTGAGAGCAAAAGACTGGGTCTTTCACACTGCCAAGCCGCTGAGCCCTCTTGCAATTGCCTACCTTGGGAGCTGGGGATTTAGCTCAGTGGCGCCGCTCCTGCCTGACAAGTGCAAGGTCCTGAGTTCAATTCCTGTACCAAAAAAAAGACCAAATTGCCTACCTTGGGAACTTATATTAAGGAGGACCAAGGGTGTTCCTCATTGGTAAAACCACTTTTGGTTTTGTATTTGGTTATTTGTAGCAAAAAGCACTCAAATACCCAAACCACTTTCAGTTTTGTATTTAGTTATTTGTAGCCAAAACATCTAGAGAGTGACATAGTGAGTGCTTAGTGAGGCAAGTTACCAAATTAGATCCTTTCCTTGTAGAAAAGCTGCCATAGTCAGATGTGTACAGATCTTATTCCTTAAGTATTTAAGAAATTTATTCAGTAATTAGCTTCACTTTTAATCTTTATCTTGATTCTGTCCTAAAAGTTTTTTTAATTGCATCATGTACTAATTAGGGCTCACTAGAGGAACAGATCATACTATGTATATATAGGATTTACAAGGTAGGCTTACAGTGGATTCCCGCAGGGTCAAATGTGGAAGAATGCAGAAGGCCTGTCTGTGCACTGGGGAGCTGAACAATCCAGTCAAAGGTGGAGGACCTGGAGCTCACTGCAGAGTCCCGTGCAAGTCCATGTCGGGAAGCTGAAGGCTCTGAACTGGAAGACTGAAGACTCTGTGCTGGAAGGCTGAAAAGTGTGAGCTGGAAGCCTGCAGATAGACATTCAAATGTGATGGCGAAGCCTGGAGCTCCTCTGGAGAAGCAGAATATTTTTATTGCATCCAGGTTACAAGCCTATTGGTGGGTGCCACTCATACCCACAGTGGGCCTTCTCTCTTCAGTAGGACTCTCTTCAGTCCATCGCCCAGATACACCCAGAACTGTGCTAAGCCAATCAGCCAGGCATATGTGATTCAAGCTGACATCACAGTTAGCTATCATAGATCACGATAGCAATAATTTAAAAACAAAGTCATTTTATGTTTGAAATCAATTAGATGCAACTTATTAATATGGATTTTCTCTTGAAGGGTCTAGACAAATCAAATAGATTCAATGAAAAAAAGTAACAGAATAGCTTAAGGAGATGTAGAATCAATTGATGGGAGTAGCAGAGAATTTAGTTCAGTCTAGGGAGAGGGAACAGAACATGGCTTAGAATGTGCCAGGCTCCACACCAGGCTCCACGTAGATGTTATTTTATTTTATTTTATTTTATGTTTGAAGACAGGGTCTCACTATATAGTCCAGCCTGGCCTTGACTCACTATGTAGCCCAGGTTGGCTTCAAACTTGCAATGATCCCCCTGCCTTAGCCTCCGAGTGCTAGGATCACAGGTGTGCACCACCATGCCTGGCCTAGGTGTTATTTAATTCATACAACAACTTTGATAAGAAGATACTAACACACACACACACACACACACACACACACACCCCATTTTACAAAGGGAGAAGCTAATACTGGGAAAGAGATCCCTCTTTAAACTTGGAATCATTTTATTCCCAGATTCCTGCTTTTTCAGATACGGAAGTTGACTGGGCTTCTTGAGATAATGTGCTTTCTCCTGAGACCCTTTCAGTACATTCTCCCACCCAAAATAAGAAACACAGAAATGAAAAGGAACAATTCTAACAATGATACCATTGATATAGATATATTGGGAAGATGAGAGAGGAGTAACACAGTACACTGCACAACAAAATCTTTCTTAAGCTTAATATAAAATGGTTGTGACTTTTCCTGAAGCTTTGCATCTGCTGTCCCCTCTATTCTCCTGCTCTTTCCCTACAGGGAAGATTCCCCCTCCACCTTCTTCTAATGCACTCTCCTTTCTTTCCCATACGCTTCTTTCAAAATTCTGCTTAACACAAAACTAACCCAACACTCATGAACATTCCCATCCCCAATCCATGTCCATGGAGAGTTTCAGCTACTCCTGCCATCGACAGAAACACAACAGGGGTGTCCTTATAAAGAAGTAGCCAGCAGGCAGTGGGGAGAATTCAGGTTAACATCAAAAACTGAAAATCAAGCACCTGTGGTAGGAGCCAAGCTGATAACGTAAGTGTTACTTGAGGCTGTGTGTAATGGGGGGGGGGACTGTGGGGAGGGAGAGTGGATTTGTGCCATTCAAAACAACAATAATTTTACAACACTTTAAATGTGTCCAAGTCAAAGAGGATATCTTTTGACCATTGCAGTGGATTTGAGTTCACAGGTCATCTCTACTATATATAGGCTGCGGACAAGTTATTTAACATTTCTCAGACTTGATTTCCCCATCTGGAACAGAGAATAATCACCTGTCTTGCAAAACAAAAACAAAATAGAGATCTTGCTTATAATGTGCCCAACACATTGTCCCTGAAACAATTGCATAAGGAGACACAAGAAAATATAATGGTTAATTTTAAACAGTAATGTTTTGTTTTTAATAATACATTGTAAGTATATAGACACCATCCATTCATTGCTTCATACGGGGTTAGTTACAAGTTCCCCATGGAGTCACCACATATGAGGCTTAAGTCATTCTTCCTTTCTTTTTCTTTTCTTTTCTTTTTGACTCACTTTTTCTTTCTTTCTT